TGGCAGTAACTATAAACAACATTGAACGGGGTTAAGGAGTAAACTTTTCTCAACGAGAGATTGTTTCGTCGCACTTGACACTAAAACAAAGATAAGAAACTTGAAGTTGCATCGTATTCGGTTACTTTTTATTCATGCAGACCGATTCGCAATTCTACTTTTTCTTGTTTTTTCTTTCTTTTTTTTTTTTTTTTTACAAGTATAATAACTTTTCGTCGTTAGCCGACGCGAATAGGCTCCGCTGTTCGCGCTTTGCATATCTCGTTACCAGAAAACGGCGACCTATCAATTAATTCAACAACGCTTCGCAATTACTTCATCCACGGAGGAACGCATTTAACGTCTCTCGTTTCCTCGCGAACGACCGCGAAAAATTCCAAATTCCCGGCGAGACGTCTTGATCTCCTGGTTGTACGTTTATCATCGCTCGGGAATAAAGTGGCTATCGCGGTTCGATTAATAAATATACGGCGAAGTCGGCGAGCGCAAAAATGCATTTCTCCGGGACGGAAATGAAGTCGTGCAAAACGAAGACTCTCGCGACGCTTATTCGTTCACCGTCCGCTTGATAGCCGACAGCGAATGAAATCGATGAAAAACGTGATCGCCGAGGAGGAGACGCGATTCCCCGCGAAGGTTTCAATTCTTTCGTCGCGCGGCGAATACGAGGATGAAGAGGAAAAGGACGAGAACGAGGAAAAGAGAGTAAGATGAAACACGAACCGGCAGGATGGTTAATGCGGTGCAAGACCGCGAATATTCACGCTGAAGATTGTATTTATAATGGCGAGGAAAGGAGGAAAAACTTGTTGGAGTGGTCGGTTAATTTAAATATCGACCGCATAAACATTCGTACGGGGGAAGAAGGCGGTAAGCCGCTTGCAAGTTATGAATATTACCGGCGAACGTAAGCTCCTGCTTCCGTGCCCCTCGCTGCCTTCTTCCGTGCGCCGCCATCGTCTTGATCCTCTTCTTCTTGTTTTCCCCTCGTAAACTCAGCCTGGGAAGCCGATCTTGTCGAAACGCATCGATGCTGACAACTGTCATACGGATGATAGGTTAATGAGATTTGCCGAGAACGAAGGAGAAAAACAACGCGGTTTGTCTTTCGGTTATGGTTCCTCAAATATTTGGCCACGCGAGAACGAATCGATCGAGCTTGCGGGATTTATAGCCCTTCGGAATGTTCCGTAAGTGGAACGAGACTGCGTGTAGTCGGACGCTACCCTTCTCAGCACAGTCCTGACTTGGACCTTTCGCCTCGAAGGGCACATATTCGTTCATAAATCATCGAAAATTTCATAAAATTGAGACTTACTCGAGAAGTAACCCGACTCGTGATCACGAAGATCGAGTACCATAATCTTAGTTTCATTTTTCTTTGCCAAATCCTGGAAATGATAATTTATACAGATGGTCGAGATGTATTTCGGTTCAATAGGATTGTACAGAATGACGAAGTATTCAAGTGTCGTCGACATTTTAAAATTTTCCTCGAATAACTTCCATGCGTTTTACAATCAGGCAGAATACAATTAGATATTGACTTTTTACTTGGTTTTCTCTGGACATTGTTTTCTCTAAACGCTAGAACAATCAATGGCCGATTTCAGATTTTCGTTTTTACAACTGAAAGGTACATGCATTGAAATTAATCTCGATTTCTATTTAAACGGGAACATAATTGTATAAACCTATTTACTTTAATTACCATCATTTAAGTTATCATTCGATAATAATATTATGGAATTATTAGTAATAATATTGAATCATTAATATAAATTAATGGAATATTTGATATGTGTATTTGATATCAGAGGCCAATTCTTCTTTAGTTATATTTCGGCACGTCAATCGATAATATTTATTTAAATTACATGTATACTCGTATTATTAATTTCGCGTTAAAGAAACTGCTACAAATTGAATAAATATGACGAAGCTGCGAGAGAATTGTATTAATGTTGTGATAATCATTCTCTTTATCATGAGCAAGTATTTTTCACGCGTTACAAACGCGTTTTTGAAGCTGCGATTTTTTTATTATTTTTAAAAACTTGTTGCTTTCAACACATTATGTCATATACGTGTATCAATATATCAGTAGCATCAATATGTTAGAAAAATGTCAGATATTGCTGGCTCAGTTAATAATCCAAGATGACTTATTTACTGGATAATTAATAATCCAATTGAATCATCTTTTTCTCGCATAAGGAAGAGAAATTTTAATTATAAAGGATTAATATATCGTTGACAGTACCCTGTTAAATGCTTGTATCTTTTTCTATTATACAAACATGTAGATATAATAATAACGAGAAATACAACACCTTGTTGTGTAAAATAACAGCGCGATAATAATAAGATCGACTCACGCTTGAAAAGCAAAAGACGTTGATTCGACAACGTCTCTTCTGTTGTTGAAACGTGTTAAAACATCATTACAATAATTCCTCCAGGCCACGTAAGAGAGTAACATGCATCCGCGGTGGAACGTCGAGAGTAATTTAAAAAATTGAACGCAAAAGTTGCAGTCAAGTGTGTGAACTTCTGCGAGTTCAACGCTTGGCAAGTTAAGCCCCGGGACAATGCCTGGAAGAAAGAGGAGTAATTTCAAGTAGTAACAGCACGCATTACGTATTTCGACAAGTTTCTCGCGTTCCTCTGGCTCGTACACCTTTTATCAAGATAATGCACGTCACAGAAATTGCTTATGAAATGTCGCGGCGTGACTTCCCTCCATGTTCAGCCGTTTCCTTACATATTCGCACGAGTGCGAATAAAACGAACGCGGGGCTTAACGTTAATGGTATTGCGAGACGACGTTCCCAAAGAATATTGCAACGGCATTTCCGCGAAGGAAAAAGAATTCCCGACGCGGTGACTGAATTCCTTAAATTCGAATGGAAGATTCATTGAATTTGAGCCGAGGACAAATGTTCAAACTGCGAGGAACACGGCCGTGAGCTTTTAATCGCCGAGCCTCGATAACAGTTGTGTTTGGTCTACGGCGCGAGTAGTGCGAGTCAGCCGTTGGCGAGGCACGAGTCCTCTTATTATCCGAGCTCGCGGCAAGTTTTAAAGTGACATAAACTTATCGCCGGCTAATTCGAGAGGCGTACGTTTCAGAGTGTAGCGCGCTTTAAAGCGACGGATGTCGAGCCGCGCCATCTTACTTGCTGTCCAACGGGAAATATGCATGTTAATGGGCGAGTTGACAGATTAATTTTCCCGTGAGTGAGTATCGTGCAATCACGCCGCATAATAACGCTTCCACGAACACCGTCGATGCTGCAACACCGTCCTGTTAAATGGAAATTGACAGTGTCGTTCTTTATTTTTTTTTTTTTTTTCTGTTTTCTTTTTCATGAAATTTCAAATTCGCAAAATTGAAATCACGAGCGAAACGCCACCCCGTTTTCGCGAGTTCGCGAGCAACGATTTCACCTGTGACAATCGTTCTGATCTCCGTGCAAACGTCGAGATCTCCGAATTGGCAACGATAATATGTCATTTATATGCATCAGTGTATAACGCACGCTACACGTCATACGCCATGCTCGGTGACTTGGATAACACTGTGTACAGAAACGCACTTAGTCTGAGGAACCGTCAGTCACCGACTGTCTCGTCTGAGTGGCACATACTGAGACAGACCGTTTGAATCAGCTGAAACGCGAACATTGGTACAAGCTAATGGACCAACGCACTTGAGGAAGTGATAGGTGTTGTCTTCGTGCACGAATGTGTATCGACAGCCTTCGACGCTACAAAGTCACTCTCGTAGACGTGCGTGTATCATCGGTGACGACGCACTGATTTTCTAAAATGATGGTCAACTTCGTACCACGTGATTTTCCCCTTTGTTTCTCCTCGACGACGCCGATCTATTCACGAAACGCAGCGATCGGAGGGACGACAGAAAACCGCAGCGTCGCGAATTCATCAAAGCGTCGCGACGGAAAGCAAAATCTCCCTCGGGGCCCCGATATGAAGATTAACGACTCGCAAGTTCCCGATTAAACTCAGCCAGCCGATTTCGAGGGTGAAACCGCTTTTGTCTGCCGCGGCGAAACAACGTTATCTCGATCGTCCAACGAAGCCAGCCGAAACCGCAATAGATAACCGGTCGCTCGAAAACGTGTATCGAACTCGCAGGTGAAACGAGTGTTCCTTCTCTCGAGACCATAGGGCATTATTGGACTCATCCCCAATGATAATGACGTATCTTCACAGCGATAAGGTTACTAGAACCACCTTACCGTTGATACGAAGATTAACGACAGTCAAGATCCCAGCAACTTCCGCGAGAAATACTGTTTTATGGATATCGAGCCTGATAAAATCGTATTGCCTCGCGTCGTTTCGCTTGGATTTCGCAAGAGTCGTTTCCAGTAGAGTCGAAATGAGATCTCGAAATTTTTCGAATTCAACTGTTTCGTTCGGCCGATGATTTACGACGCCGGCGGGGCAGAATAAGCGAGACACGACTGTTTGGCAAGCCGTGGATCCGCCGAGCTAAGAGTTTTCTCGCGTGGACCATTTGGATTCATGTTTTCAAACTGCTACACGGGCCACTTTCATGCCAAGCGGCTTTCCAGTCGAATCAATTTACGTAAATACGCGGTATAAAACACGTCGGTTGAATCGTTTCATTCCTTTCTTCTTCCGTTTTTTTCTTTCTTTCAGCGCGATTATTATTTCACCTGAACTTGACCCGGAGCGAAGAGTATAAATAATTAATTAATTTTCAAATGTTTTTTTTTTACGTATTTCGCTGAACAGTTTCGCCTCTTCGTTTATTTCCCTTCATTTTAATTAATGTCGGTTTCTTTTTTTTCTTTTTTTTTTTTCACAAAATTCTTGCACGAAATTCTACGTTGCGCGTGTAGAAATGATTGAAATCACGAACCGTGTAAAGTGGTAGTCGCACGGCTGCGGCGTTTGTACGTATGCAAGATGGATAACCATCGGTCATTACTTTTTAATTGTTACAGGACTGCTGTTTCATCGTAGCGTTCTAATGTCTGGTAGCGCGCTGTCACCATGGGCGCTGGTGAGAGGAGCCGCAAATTACGCTCTGCAAGTTGCCAAACATCTAAATTGCTCGTGGGTGAGTATTGCCCGGAGTGCATTACATTAAGGTCTCCGGTTCGACGACAACTCCGAAGCAAATAAACTGCCGTGAGACATTCCCCGCGAGGGAAACAATTCTCCCTCTTCCTTTCTCTGTCTTTCTTTCTCTCCCTCTCTCCCTTTCTTTATTTATTTATCTACCTGTTCTTTTCACTTTCTTTTCTTTTNTTTTTTGCACTTTGCATTGCATTTTCACAGATATCACCAACCCAAGCATCACCAAAAATAACCAACATTATCATAACAATCAAATTGAATTAATATTAATTAATCAATTCAAAGGAACAGAATTCAACAAAGATAGTTTTTTTCCAGTGCAAACTGTTCCGACTTTTTCCAAATGTCATGTATCCATTGTACAGATGTATTTTTTAACGATTGAAATCAAGACAAGTATCAATAGAAACACGCGGGTAATAGGAGACAATGTTCCGTCCAGTGAATACAAAGAGCAGTGAGCCCATTGAAAAAAATATTTTTCTAAAAGCGCAATCTACCACGTACAAGAAGAATCCAGAGTAATTGAAAAAAATATACGACCAAAATGTGGATGTAATAACACGAACACTTACGGTTGTGAGAATTTGATAAATATATAACACTCTTTAGCCGATTGGATGAGTGGATTTCGTACCAAACGCAATAATCGATCAATTTTTTTTTTTTTTTTCTGTACACACGCAATTGAAACGTGTCAAAAACCTGTGCACGCCTTTTATTCTATCCTCTCCTCGATTGTAACAGTTTTATTACATTTCAATTTTCGAAAATACAATAATATTTGCTGTACTAAACGAGCAAATCCAATAAGATACAGTGGTAAAAGAAAAAAGAAGAAGAAGAAGAAAGCAAAGAAAAATACTATCGTTATGGGCGATAAGGTTGAACATTGAAGAGTATTATTTTGAACGTTGCTGGTAGCTGCATATGTGCTCAAAGTGAAAGCCGACATTAATATATTATTAGCATGTTCGTATAATTTATTAGTTTGTAATTTAGCCATAAACGTTTCGTGAAATTCTGTTGCATAAATATGAACTCCTGTTAAATATTAACTGAATGAATGATCACAGGTGATAAGAAGGAATAGATGGACTCTTATTATATGAACAGTCCGATTTTATGAACTATCTTGTTTCCCAATATGTGATATTACAACAGAACTTCGTTTATTCGTGTCCAATTCGTATCCATTTGGATAATAGACAAATTCGGATGATGAGAGGCTCATTAACTTTCTCTCACTTACTTAGATAAAAAGAGACAACAGAAATTGATCAATTGTGTGTTCGTATGTATCTGAAGCTCAACATTAATTAGATCGTACAAATGAAAGTCCTCACTATATAAGAAACTCGTGTGATACTCTCGTAACGTAGCTGGCAGGTCTGGCAGAATTCTTCCTGGCGCAATTGATTTTATGGTTTACAAACCTAGCATCTTGAACGCACGCACGAAAGTAGAAGGGAGGGGAAAAAAAACATGAAACAACCGAAACGCGGAGGATTTTAAACCAGGAAAAAATGTCACGGGGACAAAGAAGAATGGGAAATATCGGGTGTACTGATGGTGATTAGAATGGCGCGCAAAAAGGGCTGAAGAGGGAATGTAAAAAAAAAAATGGGAATCGTAAAGCAAAGCGATACAGATGCGCGAAGGATAACATTCTGCCGGGAAATATCGAACGGAACGTCAGGCATTATTTTCGGTCGCGTATCGCCGGTGGTTTAATTGTATTGGACGGCAGAGGAGGATATTTTCGTATCGCGATTCGCGTTTTGGCCGCGTTAAAACGCGAAACTCCCGTCGGAGGCGTCGCGCCGTGTCCGCCACGCATATTAGCTTAATTGAAACGCACCGTTAATATAATTGCTAGTGCGTAACTAACGAATGTAAAAACATCGCGTTCCCGCCAATTTCGCTTGATAGTTTAATTCATACCCGGCCGTGTCACGCTTTCGCGCCGATCGTTCCCAGCGTGCGCTCGCTCCGGCCGCGTTTTCGAAATTATTCGCCGGCGAAATTAAAGCGTGAACGGATTCACGATCGTCGAGGAACTCGGTTGAACGCTGCTCTCTGCCTTTCGAAAGAACTTCTTAAAATTTCGCGACGAACAACATCACTCGCGATCCGTTGATTTTGTTAATGCTCGAGCTTCTGTTGCAACAGAATACATAAGTTACACGAAGATTCTAACAAAGATCTTTTAATAAAGTGACTTTGTAAGATAGACTGTATTGATCGATGACTGTCGAAAGACTGCCCCTTCAACTTGATATTTTTCGACTATTAAACAGTGCTCTGCTGTTGGAGGCACAGTTATTTCTCTCCACTGTGTTCGCAAAATTTCAAAATGCTTCATATATTATGCATAAATATACGCGTGAAAGACGTTTTCTACGACAGGTGTTTCAATAGTTTCGCAAGCCAGTGTATACAGATCTATTCGAAGTGCTTCGAACAGATCACAGCCTTCGAGACGCGAGATGTCTGACTGTGCGCCATCCGTGTCTACTTAAGCCCCGGTCGATCCGGCGCGGCGTCACGATTGATAGTTTGCTAAACGGAACAATCGAAAACGGCGATCGTTGCCATTTCCGTGTTTTGCAATAATTTCGACGAACGGGGCTCGAGCTGAGTAGAGGAACGTGCACGTGCAGGAGAAAGAATCTCAATTTCATCCGTACCGGTGTCGAGAGGCAGTACGAAATGCGCCACGGCTACTCGTAGGCCACTCTTCTCTATTTCCCGGTGAAACACGCTCGAGATGAGCGAATCTAAACAGATCCTCGATCTGCAACCGATCGAAAATGACGATTAAACGCGAAATCGGGGTAAGAGCGGCCCAATTGTTTCCACGGGCCGACTTCTCTCCCTCTGGAGCCATCGTTTTCCGTTGTTTTCGTCGAGCAGTGGAAATAAAAAAGAAAAAAAAAAAGAGGGGTGAAGAGGAGCAAAGCGAACGAAATGGAAAACGATACGGGATTATGTTACGCGAGCCGATAGCCGCGGTCCAGCCAGAATTGATTGAATTTGTTGCAGGAAAAATGACGAAATTAATTTCGCCGCGGATTTCGAGAGCCTACGGGCCACACGGTTGGATTAGAAGGGGAAGGGTTGTGCGCCGATCATCGACGTTTCGTCGCGCGATCGCTTCATTCGAATTCGAATGGTCGCCTCGTGTTTTTTATGCGAAAAATATACTGCTCACAAAAATTAGGGGATATTTGATGCGATAAAAAGCAGAAGCATTTGATTTTTTTTTTTTTTTTTATTAAACAGGAACATTAGAAAAGCAAACAAGTCAGTTTCTGATGTTCTTGTTTCAAACGCTTATTTTTTTTATCACTTCATATTCAGTTTGAAATTTTTGTGAGCAGTGCACTTCGCGGAAAATCTCGGTGAAATTGAACGACGGATTCGTCATTCGACACTAATCGCAAATAACAATAATCGAGGCAGTTATGCCTCTGTCTAAACAGAAATCGAACAAATTAATTTTGACAGAAGATACTAGTGGTATCTTCCAAAGCAAGTTGAATTGTTGATCGACAGTGACGCGGCCTCGCCGTTTTGTTGCTTACGAGGAGCTCGATCGAGGAGATCGGGACGAGAAATCGTTCGCCTCGGTGGGAAAGTTGATTTGCATGATTGTAACGGTAAATTTGACAGAATCTTTCCCTCGGTCGTTCGGCGTGTTGGCCGAGATCGAACGCGCGAGCGAGAAAGAGGGTGCCCCCGACCTATCGGTCTAATTTTACGGTTTAGCTGCGCGAGAATCTGTGCTACGGCTGCAGGCGAGAGGAAACCAATCACGGAGCGAGAAACCAGGCCGCGGCGTGCTCCGACCTCCAAAAATTCCCCGGCGAAATTGTCAAACCACCCCGGGCGTCCCCGCCGTCCGCCCTTCTGTTCCGTTCGTGCGAAAATTGGAAACTCCTCCGTGAAATCGACGTTTCCGGCCAACACTCCGGCATATTAGGGCGTCGATTAAATTCGTTAAACGAACGAATCGATGCTCCCGTGCAAGATCGACGAACCTGCACCAAGTAGCGCAATGTGTTCATCGTCGCGCTCTCTCTCTCTCTCCCCCCCCCCTCCCCTAAATTTCCTCGACGCAGCAGCTCGGTCGACATTCGATTGCGGCTAGCCTACGTCTGCCTCGAAGCAGGATTTCCAGAGGCGATTACAGAACCGGTCGCTAAAGCAATTCATTTGCGTGCAGCCGAATTAAAGCGAATCGTTGCATCGTCATTGCGTTCCGCTTAGCGAGAACACGCGTTTCACCAATCGGCGAGCCGTCTCCTCTCCGTAGCTACGCGGACTGCGCGATCGTTAAGTTAAATAATCGGCAATGTTCGCGAGTGCCTCGGACGAAACGCGAATAAACGTAAATGTCAAAAATAGGGTGACCTACGTGTTTGATGAATGAATGTGTTTAGTCTGTATTGGAACATAATACGAGTTACTTTATAATGAAATGATCGGCAATATTTACGAAACGCGCGAAAGTTGAAAATAAAGTGGCCTACCTAGTTTAATCTGCGCTAGAATGCTATACAGATAATAAAATAATTATATATTATAATAAATAATAATTATATATATTATATATAATATATATAATATACAATAATAATAATTATTATTATTATTATACATTATAATAAAATAATCGACTTACTTATTAGGGGTTTAAAGAGGCTGACATATTATGATACGTCAAATTTACGTTATGTGTTTAAAAGTGAATGCATTTTTAATTCATTCAATATGATATTTTTAGAGCATTGTAAGAGTTAAGCTGTGACATGTTCTGTGAGTGAAGGATCTACTCTGACTAATTCTGTTTTGCTCAACGACGTGATTGTCTTTTCAGTAGTATCATAAATGCAAACTTGATGACTTTGAATTCCTTGACTGGAATCAGAACGATTGATCATTCATTGGTATTCACGTTACCTATTCTATTCAATGTATTCTCCGTCGGACGAATATCTAAACAACGTAATTACAAAAATCAATGTATTATGAAGGCATTAAACAAATGTTAAATAATGAGAGTTCGAATTTGTAGGATGTCATGATAACTATTAGATAAAGAGAATGTAGTACCGTAAGAAGAAGAATACTTTTGTGAAAAATCTGTGAGAACTGCTATAAATTTCAACATGAGAAGAGCGCGATGTGTCTTAATTTTCCCCGTGCGATATGAGCAACATTCATTCTCTAAAAAGTGTTCTTTCAGTAGATCACACTAAATGTAATTGTAAATTACAATCAGATGTAAAAAACGGAAGTTATAAGTTCAATAGTTGGTGAGATTCTGACTGTTGATATAGTGACCAAGCTATCAACCGATGAAAGTTAATAAAGTCGGTAATAAATTAAATTGCCTTCCCATGTCTCTTCACATCTTTACAACAACATTTATCTAATCATCTCTACCACCGTCATTATTAGTCATTACCGCTTTTCTCCCCCCTTCTTTTCTCTTTTTAATTGCACATCTACTCGCGTATTTCCCCCATGTTTTTACGTTTTCTCTTTATTACTATACGTTTAGTAGGCCCTGAAGTATCTGCTAACGAGTTTCCCCGTACTCAGCGTGCGAGTACGAGCGCACTTGTTCTTAAAAAAAAAAAAAACCCACGTGGATTGTTTGTTCAGGCTGCAGGTGATTCTCAGGCATTGCTCAGATGTCTGAGAGAGGTGCCGCTGAACGCGTTGGTTTCGGTACCGGTAAAAGGCTTGGAATTCGCTCCTGCTTTCGGGCCGAGCATAGACGGCGTCGTGATTGATCCAGGCGATCCCGATGATCAGGACTTCACTCTGCAAGTGGATACGATCAATACGCTGAACAACATCTTGCTGCGGAAGGACGTCATATCGAAACTCTCAAGGTATTTCCCTGCATCATACTCTCCTCATTTCCTCAATTTTCCCCGATTTCCGTCCTGTTACATTTTTTTCTCTTTTTTCTTTTCTTTTCCTAAATGTTTACATCTTGAATACGATCGTCAAATGAAGTCGGCAATCGCCTAATGCAGCGCATAAATTGCGTTTACATTAGACACTTCAAGTCACTTGAATTTTCTTTGCAGGCGAATGTATCTTCCACATTCAGTTTCTTCCCTTCTTTATTTGTGTTAATCAATGTTTTATATTAATAGATTCAAATTGAATTATATATCTTCATTGTTGTTTGAGGTGTGCAGGATAAAACGAACATGTGTTGTTATATTGTTTTAAAGAATTTAATATAAAAATGATATAAAGAAACATATAGACTAGGAACACGGTAGTATTTTGAGAATTATTGATTACAAAATAGTCAGATGTTAACAGGTCCAATAATTAATCAAGGAAATTTAATAATTTCATATCATAGTTGCAATAATATGATATTATAATAACCTATATTAATATATAATTATATTATATTATATCATAATTTAATCATTAAAAATTTAATCGATTCCGTATTTAATAGAATTCGCGGATTAAAATGAATTAGGCACTATATTAAATTTAAGCACTATAAATTAAACATAGAAAGAGTATCTCTTGTACTTCTCTCAACGTCTTTTTAATTACAATCTTTCGAAGAATCTCATTTGTATTATATAAGAATCTCAACGTATTTTGTATATTCGAATGTGTCTAAATACTCAGTGTACAAATATGACGTCATACGTTTCACCATAAATTTCAACTTCTTGTTGAAACGTCCCAGTGGATCGTGAATACGTCCAGAATGTCATAAGTAGGAATTGAAACAAAACAGGGGACTCGTTACGTGGCTAAACGGAGCATACTAACCAGAGAAACCCACAGGAAAAAAGTGGCAACACACTCTTATTGGACTCCTTTTTCTTCACCCTTTTGCTTTACCTTTCCTGTTTCCTTTCTTCCCTCTTTTCCTTTGCACGTGTTTTGCCCTTTTTTTCTCTCCATTTTCCATCGAGCTTGTTTTATCTTGCGACGTTTCCCTGTCCTGGCAAATCTCTTGCCCCATTTTATTTCCCTCTTTCTCTCTTGATCACTCTTTCGCCGACACTTCACTCTTCTTTTTTTCATCTCTACCTGGGATTGTCTACTTCTCTTTGTTCGCCCGTCGCTAGTTTGTTCGTGTCGTGCTTCCTTCGACTTTCGTCGCAGCTGAAGCAACTCCGCGTTTTCGTCTTTTCTTAATTACGTTTGGTTATTAATTCGAATCGTAAGACGACAGCTCGAACCGCGAGGACTTCTTTTCAATCCTCGTCGTTTGAATACATTTCCATTTTCGTCTCTTCGTTTGCCGTTATTTTAACCCTTTTGCTGGTTGAACTTTGTCCATTTCTTCAGGTTCCTTCGTTTTCAGACAGGAAACGTTTTCATGCATTTTCCTCCGCACGTTACACATTCGGTGTTTCGTTTGAACACGTTCGTCAAGACGTGTACACGTGTGCATGGCGCACTAATTAAAAAGAAAATTCGATAACTAGAAAATTAAGCAACATTGGGAAGCTTGTCCAACGCTGAGTGCAATCATTGATGAGTTGCTGAAAAATTCGAAGATAAAAACATTTCTTCATGAAACTGCATAAGATATAGGAAAGAAACTCAAATTAAATGCTGTATCTTTTTTTCGTGGCGATGAGAAGTTTTCAAAAATTAAAAAGAGAATTTATATCGTTGAAAGAACAATATTTGATCGTTTCATTGAATTAGCGTCGTGTGGCAAAAATTATTTAAAGAATTTGGAAAATAATAATGAAATTGGAACCACGATCGTCAAAATTAGACAGAAATTAAATATGAACGATATCCTGATGGTTTTGCTAATCGTTATCACGATTTATGAAAGGAGAGAATCGTGAAGAAACAACAACAAATGAATGTTAGCGGTTGGCGCAGGAGCAGAGAAAAATTGAAGCAAAAAGTAGCAGCAAAAATATTTAAATCTAATTACAGAAGGAATCAATGAATGTGCATGAATCATGTTCTGCTACCAAAGGAAATTTTATACTTCAGCGCTGAAATATATAATGCTGAAATATAATATCGAGCCAAATAACACGTCGATAGCACACCGAGCCAAAGTTATAGAGACATAATTTTATATTATTTTAAAAACGACCATTGTACCATGGGCCGCTTAATCTCGATATAATCGAAAAATTCGCATGTGCTATCTATAAAAATAAAAAACCAGTTGAATTAATCGATTAAGAAAAGCCTCTACAAATCATTACCAAACGGAATAATTGAGATGACAAAAACTGAAGATAGTGATACCCATTATTAACTTTCACGTGAATTTTTTTTTTTGTAGCAAATGTTATATCATAAACGTTCTGTCACTTGATATTCACACGTTTCTTCTACGTTCCTTCGGTGAACGGTAGAAATAATGAGTGTTTTCCTTTCTTCTTCATTTTTTCTTCAACAATCGAGACTCCTCCTCTCTGTGTTGCTACATTCAGATGATTTCAACTTGTCCTCGAGAAATTATAGACAGCACACACGCGCTGTCATTTCTTTCCAGGAATGTATGCATACGCACAATTATTTCGAATTAACTTGAATTTCGCGACAGAAGTTTTCCCTTTATCTCGACAAACGCAAAGGTTGTCGCGTAATTCCATCTGCCGAAGAAGGAGTTGACAATTGAACAAGGATGTTCGAGTGTTTATAGAGCGGCGCACTATCGTGGTAAAAATATTTTTACTTGCCGCATACTGGACAAAAAGCGAACAGAGACCGCACAAAGACATGAAACAACGAGACATGTACAGCTAAACGTCGAGCGGAAGTTAATTTCATGAGCATCGAGCTGGTAGAGAAACGAAAAGCAACACCAGTTGATTAGTTTCCGTAAAAGGAGTCATTTGCATGAAAAAATTAAAGGAGGTGCAAAAGAGGTTTGAAAAGCACGTTTGTGGCGTCTGGCATTATCACTAATTAAAATCGCTGTGAAAAATTCAATTTCATTATTTCATATACTATTTCTATTTATTATTAGACTTACTATTAGAATTTTTATGGATTTCGAAGACGCAAGAATGCATAGATATACATAAAATACGTAGAATATTCAAACTAGGATATTTGTTACAATATTTAGCAGATAAACAAATTCCTTTTTACGTTCCATTTTCTCAGTTATGTTTAGAAAAATTTTTAAATGCACAAAAATCCGCATTTTTCATCTTGAACTTCTCCACAATCTCGCGCATTATAAACACAAACACGAGTATTACAAATCTGGAGATATACTCCATCATACTTTCTCTCCAGATGTACAATAATAAAGCTAAACAATTGCAAAAATATTGAACATTGTCTGCGCTAGCAGATACAACATTGAAAAACAAAAAGGACCCACACAGGCTAACACAAGTGCGCATCGCTACGACTAATATTGAATTTATTGATTCATTCCACGCACTGCTTTTAATTCTAAAACGACACTGTTTTATTTTCGCGCGTATATACGTACGACATTGTGGAGTTTCTGGCAACCGAATGAAAATAATTGTGAATATTATAAATATTGTTGACTACTTTCGTAAAATCAGGCCTGGCATTTTGTTTCCGTCGAAGGAAAGAAAGTCAAAATAAAAAAGTAAAAAAGAAGTAAGTCACTTTTAAGAAGTGCAACTATTTCTCTACGGCAACTCATAATTAAGATTTTATTAAAAATTCTACATATCTCTGAATTGCATTAACTGTGCCATACAATTAGAAATGGTTTTGTTTTTTATTTGTAACTGAAAAGAAACATATGACCGCAAAATGTTAACATTGGTTGTTGACCAGTTACGAGTAAACTCGTGTTTTCATGCACGAATGTTGTTTACCAGTGACAAGTTATCTCGCGTTTGCACTTGCAAAGTTGACATAGAATAGTTCTCGTATGAAATTGTTGGTCAACAATGTACTAAATACCACAAACACATAGTTTAGATAAAAAAAAAAAAGAGTAACTGCTCCGAATACCAGATACACTGTACTTTTAACGCAACCGATATTGATTTCGCGTTGCAACTGAGAAAAAGTAACAAAAAGCGAAAGATAATAGAAAAGAAAGAAACAACGAGCACACGAAGTGAATATCCAAGTGTTGAAATTCTGTAATTGTTGAATTTACAATTATCGTAATCGATATTTCTTTCAAAAAAAAAAAATAAATAAATAAATTCCATCAATATCACATAAACTTTCTCAATCAAATCCCTCGTTCTCAAATTACTAGCATGCGATTTCCCTCGTTTAAAAGTAATTGGCAACAATCAGCCAGTCAGAGAGGGAGTCCATCATTTAGAATTTTCCTAAAATAATATACGAATGAAGATCAGTTAGAGACAGGGAAATCCCACCGTCATTGAATTTCCCTCGTCAACCAGTTTCCCGGCGTTTCGCCTTTTGTCGCGATCGGTCTTTGTCCCTCTTTGTCACCACGTTTCTTTCGAACGTCTCGTGCCTCTCGTTCTTTCACTCATGTTCCATTCTCGTCGCATTCTCAAAACGGCAGCCTTTTGCCGCTGCAGCGAGCCTCCAACCCTCCTACCGCTACAGCCGTACCGCGATAAATAAACGTTCTTGCTGGAGTTTTACGCCGTGAACGTAACGACGACGGGTTAAGGGGAATGGAAATCATTGAAACGAACCGCGTTTCTTTGCCTCGACGTATACCACCCTCCCTTCCTGAATGTCGGTGAATATCCCAGCTCGCTGAATGCTTCAAGTTAATTTGTCCCCAGTAGAAAGAGGACTCTCCTCCCCGATTCTCGTCACTCCAATCTCTATCTGTCTGTCTCCTCGTCCGTCTCTGTTTCCTTCGTTCAAACAGTGAACGCCGCCGCTAAAGAATCAGGAGGTACGGAAGAGGGCGAGAACCGTGCGTGTAATTATGTTATGCGGGTTAATGAAGAGGAGGATCGAGAAAAGTGCGCTCCACTCGCGCGCCAGGCGCACGCGTGTACTTTGTTCGTACAAACGCGTTAAATTTCAAACAAATCTCTCCTTTGGCCAAGGAAGATCAAAGAATACACTTGTTAATTCCGGTTAACGAGGTCGTTGCTTCCGATTAGTTCAACGAACGGTGCATCGTTTCGCGTCGGCGTTTCTTTCCCTTCCTTGAGATGAAAAGAGAGGAGAATTGGTGAAAATCCTTGTACAAACGTTCAATTAATAATAAACGTCTGTGTTGGACGTTCTTCGCAGGACGGACCTCGCGCGATAATTATCACCGAAAGAGAGGGATTTCCGAATCAGTGTATGCGGATATTCGAGTATTTGCTGGCAGGGTATATTTGGCCTCGTCATTCGTCGTTCGAAATGATACGTAAATATGAATAACCCCGGCGTAATGAGGCGAAACTATTTACATCGTTATGATCTGTCGGCGAAATGCCATTAAACTGCATAATTGCCGTGGCAAACGTGGAACAGTTTGCCAATGTTGTACGCGCGATCGGAAACGCGAAAAACCGGTCGGAACAATGGTGACATTGATTTTCCATATACGTTCGCAGGTACGATCTGATGATCGGCGTTGTCCGGTCGGAAGCGTATTTCGCTTTAACGGCGGATGACGCGCAGTACGGGATCGAGGCTGACAGACGGACGAAGATTCTACGGGAGTTTGTGCGTAACACGTACACGTATCATCAAGCAGAGATCTTGGCGACGATAATCAACGAGTATACCGATTGGGAACGGCCTGTGCAGCATCCGGTGAACATAAAGTGAGAGCAACTATTCAGCTACAACAACTTTTCACGACAATTTCTCACGAAGAGAAAGTGACATTGCGATCCTTTGTCCTTCTGACTCTTATAATTACGACGAAAGTATTGTAAACGATATTTGTCATATTTATTCCCTAAAATTTATTTATTCTGAATATATATATTTTGCGATAGACGTTATTCCGTGAAGAAAGTGACGATGAGTGGAACAAATATCTTATTTGAGAATTTAAGACACATCTTGCGAAAATAGCAGTATGATACAATAGAACTTGATTCATTGATTCACTTTCGATTTCATTATTTCCTTACGATTTTTGTTAACCGTCACTTCTGCTCGATTTATGCGAATTCGCACGTTCGTTTCCGAGTAGTTTAAACGACGAAAAATAAATTTCCAAGACGATCTTCCTCTGATATTTCTTCAGAACGTAATTCGCTAATAAACAACAAGTAGAAATCTGTTGCACGATCTCAGTCGATCCGTTCGAATTGTCAACTAATCTATTAGTTCTACTTCTTTTCAAACTTCCTTCTACATTCCACCAGCTGAATGAAAGCATCTCTCCCCTTTTTTTACCTCGCAGAGACGAAACCTTGGAGGCTTTGGGGGACGCGAACACCGTGGCGCCGGCTACGAGAACGGCAGACCTTCACAGTCAATCCCATCGAAACTCCTACCTGTACGTGTTCGATTATCAGACGAAGTTCGGCGATTATCCACAGGTACGTTAACAACGATCCGCTTTTTCCAAGGAGACACGTAAACGGGTTGAAACGAATATTTTCTTTTTTTTTTTAGAAAATAGTGCGAAATGGCCCGTAATACAATCGGCAAGGCCAGTCATTAACCCACATCTCCGTACGTTTTATTACTAACGATGATACATCGCGCCATTTCTTTCGCCGTGCCTCCTCGTTCGTTCATATTTAAATCTCGTTCTTCAGGCCGTGCATCCGTTTTCGCCGTGACGTATCGTGATTCAACGGCGCAAAATGAAAGCCGGGTCTCTCTCTCTTTATTGTCGGCACAACGGGGCACAAAACTGTGGGAAAAAATTGCATTCGCGCGGCAAACAGTATCGCAAATCGATAAATCGCGTTTTTTGAAGGACTCGATCCTTACCCCGATGAGAATCCTTCTGTTGTTTTTTTTTTTTTTTTTTCTTTTGAACGTTGCTTGCCCCGCAAGCGAAATATTCTAGAGCGTTAATCAAAGGATAATAAACAAGGGGTTGCGAAACAACGCGAATTTTCGAGCAAATATTTTATTTGAGAAACAGCGGAAACGACTTTCAAGAAATTTGCATGGTTTTGCATTGTATTTTGCAACGGCGAGCTCTTCTTTTGTAATGGCGGTTTCGTGTTCCCCGCGGAGAGTTCATTCATTATCATAAGCACAAGCCCGACGAACCTGATGCAAATGAGATAAAATTTATTCCTCTGGTTAAATTGGGCAATCTCTTTCTGACGCGTTTCTACTCGGTGGAGACGAGAATCAACGCACGTTTCGCGGGAAACCACGCCGCAGGATACGAATCTCTCAATTCGACATTTTTTCTTTTTTACGAGCATCATTTTTTTTTTTTTTTTTTTTTACAGAAAAGAGGAAAAAAGAACACACGCGAGGAAAGATAAATCAATAAAGAGCGAAATGGGCAAATTGTTTCAATAAAACACTCTGGGAACTTAACATTGGAAAAATCCCTGTGAAAATTGTTAACGCAATCATCTTCTTTGCAGCGTAAAATTAGTTGAAATTCACTGTGAAAATTAGCAATTTCAACTATTTGAAACGTTTCACGGAGACGGATAATACATTCCATCTCGACGTTGAAATGAACGTAACTTCTTTATTCATCTCGGAATGTTGTAAAAATTTTATATCTTTAATCACGAAGGCAAATTGTAACACTGTAAATGCGAAAATTGAAAAATCTTGTCTTTTGTCGAAAGGTGTATATTTTTTGTCGAACAGTACATGCTTCCAAAGGCAATTTTTCAAGTTTGATATTTTGAAAGAAAATTTCGTTCAAAACAAAAGAGCAAAACTTCAAAGTCCAGAGTACACGTTTCAATAAAAATGGAATTTTGAAGATAATTTACTGTACACATGTCTAAAACATTACAAGTACCAAAAATAAAGTTTTTTATTTCAAATTCATATACTCTGGATTCTCGTTGAAAATAAAACGAAAATATTACGAATTACGCACATAATTACAACACATATTTTCTATAGAAAATACATCTTTTCTATAGAAGTAATCTAGGAGGAAATAGAATTGGCATTTACAATGCTTGCAAACTTCAACGAACGACAGATTGAGTTTTCTATGCAACAAACATGTACATGAAAGCCTCTGAAAAAGCAATTTTCTCTTTACTAAATTTCGACCGCATTAATACAAAAAGATAGAAAATTTTATGCTGCATTCTCCCTTATTGTATTGATTTATTATTAGCTTCATCCTCTCAAAGAATTTGATGTTTGGAAACGTTCTCTCCAAGTAATCAAATCAAAATTAATTCTGTTTTCGTTGTTTCGTTCATTAACATGAAAGAAAAGAGCTAAGCCGACAGCTTGAAATTCCGCTTCGAAGTAACGGAAGAAGGAAAAGCTTGTCAGCAAAGATTCGCGGTAATTCCCTGAGGTGGTTGCTACTTGTCTAAACCACCACGATATAATAGTCTACGTTTTCAACTGAAGCTCAGGTCACGGAGAGAATTTTTTTACGCAGCCGCTCGTTGGCATCCCGGTGATTTTTTTTTTGTCTAATTACCTCATTTTGCGGATAAAACATTGTACGAAAGGACGCTGCATGGGAGAATTTTCGACACCCAGCTGCAACTTTTTCCATTTCCCGTGTTGCACAAACTCGCAGAATACGCGATATGTACACAATGAGCGGGCGATATCGCACTGGGAAAACATTTTCGCGACCATACACGCTCTTGTACATTCTTTAATGTAACGTTCGAGGAAAAATGTAATAAGCGACGGTAACAGGTGGAGAAAAAACGATAGCTGCGATGGAAGAATTTCTGGGATGAAATTATGCGCATAACGCGGCCGCGTGTTCGAAGTACGGGGGGGAAATTTGGATTTAGAAAAATTCGTTTCATTTCGCCGGGGCAAAAATTGAAATGGCGATGATGTTTGCAAGATGAAAGCTTTCTGTTACGCGATGTGAAATATGCGCGTGAGGACGCAATTTTGGACGTATCAAAAAATTATTCGCGCATATATATATCAGAAATACTTGTAAATGCTCGTGCTTGAAACATGATTTTTTGACAATTGTCTAAACCAAATGGTCATAACGTCAAAACTGGAGAAAAATAAGGAGAAATTCACAATATGAAATTACCTTACACGTGAATCTTGTATGACTCTCGCACATAGAGAATTTAATCTATTTAAACTATTTATTGTCGATGAAAGAACTTACAAATTCAACTATTCATTCTTTCGTTGTAGATATTAAATTTGCCAGTTTTTTGTCGATCGTTCCACCGAGGAGGCGAAGATTAAATAACGATTCGTGCACTAGACACGAGCGTGTTCATTCGCTAGACATCCTACGATATTCATATCGTTGAGTTTCAATTTTAAATGAAATCTTGAAACGGACGTGTTTCATCAATTCATTTCGCCGAGCTCTCGGTCGATTTAACAAACGAGTTAAATTAACAAATGCTTGCTATCCAAAAATTTAAAAAAAAAACGATTCTCCCTCAATTTAAAAAAAGTGAAAAAGAAAATCGGTAAGGGATGCTCGATCGTTCTCACGAATTCTGACGGCGTTGACATCGCATCTCTGACACTCTTTTCACCCCTTTTCCCCTCGCTGCGCGGAAAACGGTGAAAAACAGTTCGAAACTGCGGCAGATGAATTTCCTGGCCGCGATTATATTATTACCGTGTGCACGTGGCACGTTACACGGTATATCTTGGACGCGTCGGTTCGCGCAGAGGAAGCGGATACGCGCGAGGGGAAATTGTAAAATTACGGGAGCGCGGCGACGCGCGAGATCGGCTGTGTGTCACGTTAGAACTCGGTGTTTCCGGTCGGAGTTTCGGTTCGCCGCGGATATACTCGGTTATCATCAACGCCGCCCGATAACGCTACCGATAATTTCCTGAACACAATTACGGCGACGAGCGAGCGAGCGGGGCGCCGGTGATAGTCGTTATTTAAATGGAATTGAAAAAGGAAACGCGCGCGGCTCGATATGGGCGACGTTAATTGCGGAGAAACCGCGCAACCGCCCGGTAATGAAATTAATTTCGCAGCGGTGTCGCAGAATTGCAGAATTTCGAAGAACGCCGGCTGTGGGAAGCGGGTGGGCGGGGGGGGGGGATAACTTCCGGAAAAGCTGGGCAACGGTCGGAAAATTGCTTCGTGTAACACGATGATGTACGCGTGTGCTACGAGGTTGCGAAAAGTTGACAAATAAATATAAACGCGTGAGGAGGTGGTCTCCACGGCGCGCAAGTAGAAAAAGCACGCATTGGTCGGACAGGCGTCCAGTCTGCTCTCCAAAACTAAAAGAACAGCGAAGAATTGTGACGTACGATTGGAATAAATTGTTGACCACGAAACCGTTAATTTTAATTTTGGAGGTTGTTCGTGAATGAAGTTACGACGTACATGTACATTGATGTGCAGCACAGAGAGATGTTTAGTGCAAGGAGATTTACTGTAAAATAAATTATCCATGATTAATGGACGTGTGATAATACGATTGTTTAAAAATTAATTTATTCTTTCAATACTCGCAGTTAGAGGTATTTGTTTGTTCCACTAATTTCCTGAGTAAACGAATTTTCGAGAGTAATTTGGACAGTTAGGAAGAAATTATTGGTGAAGCTTACGCTAGAGCGTGTCTCCATTATGGTTTAGTAGATTCAGTTATTACTTGCTTGGCGTTAAGTAGTTTTGGTAATGTCATATTAATAATTGATATAATTTATTTTTGTGTATTACATAAATATATTTAATTATATTTATATAATAACATAAATATAATATAGTATTAATATAATTTGGCAAAATGTTATTTTACCAAAAAGGCAGGTTCTGACGATACAGTATGAACATTTATTGGCACAGACCTGCTTTCGGTACACTTATCCTGTAACTACGACTTTACAAAATTAAAATTAACGGTTTCATGGTCAATATTCTATAAAATTAATTACATTTCTCTCGAGAAGTATCGATATGTCTTTAACATTTTTTTTTTTTTTCTTATTTTTGCGTACTGAACACACTGATGAAGTTTGATCGTTTAAACATGGAACATCCCTGTCGCTTCGCATTCCCGTCACTTTTAACAGTGTGGAAATAAACAATTGATCGTTAATGGGAACACGGTCACCAATGGGGGAAGGGGTGGGCATTTGCCCTGACCTGTTATTTACAACGGCGATCGAAACGACAGATCCAGTGGCATCGTGGGTTTTGTTCCGGTAAACGGAGAAGAAAAAGGAGGAATTGCGATCGAGAAAGGATTAATATTCAACGAACTCGCGCCTCGGGAGCCGAAGTAAAACGAAGCGTTCATCGATCGGTCATCGGCGGCAGTGTACACCCTGCCAAGGAACCTTCCATCGGCAAACGTTCGATTAATTAAAATCAAGCGAGCTCGCGCGAAATCACGGGCAAAGGACTGTCGGAAACCTCGAGACAAATTTACCTTTTCTATCTGTGCTGAACATT